TAGTTTTTAAATGCGTTTATTAGGGATCTTTCAGTTGATGAATCATTTTTTCGAGTGCAAGATAAAGATAAAGGGAAGAAGGCCAAGACACAAAAAGAGCCTTCCGTGGCCTTATAAATAGACATGCTAACTGACTGAATGACGCGCTTCATTAATATGCAAAGTGGCTCAGCTGGAATCGCCCCTCCCCGCCGTCCAGCCCCCTTTGCTATCTATGTAGTAACCCACCTGTAAGAGGCATTAAAAGTATAAACGCTTAAACGGTTATTACCAGCATTTTTATGCTGCATTTGCACTGGCCAAAACGGGAGGAAAACATGGCCAGCAACAGGTTGTTCTGAGCCCCCCTTTCTGCAGTCCTCCAACGACAGCAATTGCGTGTCAAATTGAACTTGACTGGCGAACTAAGTGGGGGAATCGAAACGTAAGAGGTGGGGAGGAGGCTTCTTTGGGGAAAGGTGGCCGGAATAAATGGGTTGTTGACGGTGCTCTGTCGCCTTTTTGGAATATTTCCATATATATGTATGTTCTGCATATTTATCAAGTCTTAGCGTAAAGCTCACGGAGTGGACGTAATTATGCAATGACTCTGTTGGTTATAGGGGAAATCAACATGGTTCCTTTTAATTGAAATAATTAGTTGGGATGTAATGGTATTGAATAATAAGAATAGCTTAGAGTCAAGAAACTTAATGATGAACTTTACTTTAAGCTATCTAAATAAAAGGTTACAGAGGGTACAGCATCAGTTGAACACTCTGCCAAACATACCAAAGGTCATTTTTAACTGTCCCATTTGAAAATCATCCCAAGTAAGGCATTAACCTCTGCCGTTATGATCGTTTTATTGCCGAGAGTTCCTGGCCTACAAGAAAAATCACAGACCTTTCCCTCTACCCTCATCCCTTCTTGCCTTCAAAACTGGCAGCAATTTGGGTCTACTTAGTTCCATAATCTCAATTTAATTTTCAGGGGATTCTGGGAAAATCTTTTCCACTGACCGCACACACAGCTGTTCCCGGTAATTTTCTAATAAATATTCCTTATCCTTGGCTACACTTTCACTCAAACTTTCTTTCTGCGATCAGGCAGCAATAAATTTCCTAAAGCTGTCAGCAAATAAAATGAAAAACAAGTTCTGCCAAGAAAATGTCTAGGAAATTGTGTAATTTTTACCCCAAAAAAAGTTAAAATAAATGCGACGGACGATTAAAAATATGTAAATCAGGCAAGAAACACGATTCGACCGATAAAAGTTTTTATTTTTTCCAAGGCGTCGGAGAAAACTTTTCCGGCAAATTTGTGGCTAATTTATGAGACCAACGCAGGTAGAAAGAAAGGAAGGGAAATGAGCTGAGTCTAGAAAGGTTTGGCTGTACCTGGATAAGAAAAGGATATCATCTTCGCAGGACTTCGAGTGTCTGGAACGTGTTGCATTTATGAGGTTGAACGAAAGGGGAAACGGGTTCTTTTTATGTGAGTATTGCGCAACCCCCTTATAAGGATTTCCCTCTCTAACAGACAAAGGAAAACTGGGCAGCGGCAAGTTTTCCACCCGGCAGCGGAAATGAGAAAAACTTGTGCGCGAATCCTTTTCGCTTGCATCTCAGCGGCTGTCTTGGAACTAATTTTAATGACAATTCACGAGGCGCGGAAGTCGCGACATTCTGGATAATGTGAAAATAGGCAGAGGGAGGAACCACTGGGCAGGCAAAGAAATGGGGTGTGGCCATCCCTGGAAATGCAGATTTTCTATTTCCCTAAAATACATCTTCCGCCACTCATTTCCGCGGCTACTTTCCCAGTGGTTACTTCGCAATGTTTGGCAGCCATTAATCATAAACACATAGAACGGCTTACCATGCTGAAATGGAAACTAGAATCTGTGACTAGAATCTGATATAAAATCCTAATACCTTAGGATACTCGTAATACTGCATTTTAGACTTGTGCACCTAAAAAGCTCTTCACCAAATGGGAACGTGTTCAAATTGATCATTTACTTTTCCAGGCTCTTACCCTTTTGCACAAATTAAATGTTAATTTATTGCCTTTTCCACTTGGTTCTTAGTTTAATTTGCAGGGGACATTTTGGGATAGTATTAATTACAGGGTGCTGCCCTCATTCTACGCCTGACCGGTACAACGACCCTTGCAGGACCTAACTTTGACTTTTTGGTGCCATGCGAGTATGCGAGTGTGCGAGTATCCTTTGATATGTCGCCTGTCCGCTTATCGGAGCGAGTGCATCGCTCCCTGCCTTTCTCCCTTTCTACATTTCTACCGGCCATTTCCCCGCTTTTCTCCAACTGCGATGCTATCTGTGAGTGCTCTAGTTTCCAGTTTGCCTGACCCATTATTAGCTGTGAAATGCATGAACGTCTCTGTGTGTCCTTTTGTCCTTTGGGACTTGATTTCCTGGACGTTGGACATTTCCTGTAATTTCTCACTGGGAAATATGGCAAACACACACACCCATCAAGTGGAGGGAAATGTCTTTGGAAAAACGTTTCAAATTAGCGCCTGGGGAATGGCCAAAAAGCAATGTTTAAAAGAACTTGACTTGCCACAGAATGACATTTCCCACTGCGCCGCAGTGCAAGGTGTTCTTTTCGATTCGCTTCCTGTGTTTTTTTCTGGATTTTTTTCCAGCTCAGTAAAGTGTTTTTCCCACGTAGCATAACCGCCATTCTTTGGGAATATATTAACCCAAAACTTTTGTGGAAATAATACTCTATGTACTCCTAGCAGTACCCTTTCTTCTTGGATTTTTGAAGCCATCTATCTTTTGCTGTCAACACCGCATGGCTTTGTTCTTAGCTCTTCTGTGGGTCTCGTCGTGGTAATTGTTTTTCTTTACTCAACCACCCAAAACCCCTCCCCATTTTTCCACATCTTGCGGCTAAACTTTAAACACGCGCAATGCGCTGCGCATGCCAAATGAGTGGAGAGTCTGAAAATAGGGGGTTTCGGTGGGTGGTGCCCATAAATTTGCATTTAATGAACATTTTCGAAAAGCCCTAGAAGATGCCGCCCCTCCAGAATTAACGCTTTTTGTATGTCTGTAATGGGTTTTAATTATGTGGGTGGTTGCATATAATGAGGTGGCTAAATGAAAAGATTTTTTCAGCGCAGGCGTCACCGCAGTACAGGAAACGTATGTTTGGTGGGTGTTTCTCTTTCTTTTTTTTTTTGGTTCAGAATGAAAGAAACCTACAACTGCATCAGATTTCAGTATAACTGTAGCTTAAAACCCTATTCGCATCACATCATCACCGGCCCATTGTTGGGCCATTTTTGCAGTTGACTTCTGCAATCCGCATCCTCGGTTTCACCCTCCCTCTCTTCAGTCGGCGATTTGATTTCAGTGCCATTTGTCGAACAATTCATGTGAAAAATTGTCATAAAAATGCTATAAAATTGTTTTCGTTCCGTAATTTGAGCGAGCTACTACAATAATAGTTATAAAATCTGCGAATGCATGTTGCACAGCTTGTAAAGCTTTAGAAAGACGAGGATAACAAATAATTTGATTTATGCAATGGATGAAGAGCAGTAAAAACCATTGATGAATTGGATTTTATTGCCGTGGAAAATGGGTTAAGTTCGGTGGGAAATTGTGTGAAGGTTAAGTGCGTTTTATGTTTGATATGGGGCTGTAAAATAATATTTTTCAGCTATAAAAGTTCTCAAAAGAAAGTAAAAACTGTGCGCTTTATTTTGTGAGTTAATAGTATATCTTTTTTTCACTACATTTATGGCAACATATAATATCTTCACTCATATCCAATTACCCCCAAATATCACTTTCACCGCCACTTTGCTCGCAACACTCTTGAAAACTATCAACACGCAGTCACATTCGGAGGAGTCGCGCCCTCCAACTTCAATCAGGCTCATCACAGTCGTGTTTTTGATATCCTTTTCCCATAACTGTCATCATTTCAAATGCGAGCTCCATTTGGTTGGCAAAGGGAATGGGTAGGTGTTAATTTACGAGTGACAGGCAGGGAGCTCCTCCTGTTAAAAATAAACAGAGATGTGCGCGGGCGAAGGGATTCTTCTCGACTATTTCGGAAAGTGTGGAGCAGAGAGGCAGCTGCAATAGCAGCAACGTCAAAGGACATTGCACAACATCAGGGTAAACATCCTCCTTTAAGTTTTATGTGTTCATTTCGAGGCGTTCGTCGTTTGTATGTCAACATAAACTTCTCAAAAAACGCAAGAGCAAGCAGCTCACAAAAAACATGCGCTAGTGACAATAAACTCGAGAAAAATATGAACTCGCAACTGAACAGGAGAAATATGTTCAAGAGGCCACTCATAATTCTGAAAGAGTGCGTGAGAGCTGCTCGAGATGTTGGAAGAGTCAAAGAAAAGGATTCAGGATATGCGGAGAGTTCTTGACTTTCAGACGAGCAATTCCAATAAAGAAGATGGAAAATGTAAAAGAGAATATACTCGCATATGTGAAATGGTTTAGTATTCAGCGAAAGATGTAACAATGTATAAGCAGTAGTTGGCAGTTAAACGCAACTACGAGTATATTGATATTGGGAATACTTTCCTAAATCTCGGTTCCCTAGAAATACGGGAAACAATTGTAAGCAGATTTTCCCAACACAGACTGTATAGTCAACTTCATTCAACGTCTAAACGTTCTTTTTACGAATCCAACGATGGCTCTTTGGGAATACCTCCATGAGCTCTCAAAGTCAGGAAGTCTTGAGCACTGTAGTGGCACTTTTGATCGTGTTGTGGGAATAGCATAAGTTGTCGGGTAGACCAAACCAATTCTTAACCCCTCGCAGTGGCCGAGGTTAACCCCTGTGTGCCACTTGAGTTTTTGCTCAGTGAATCGAACGAAGGAGGTCTCCTGTCTCCGAAGCATGAAGAGATTGCGTGCTCGCGAATCTGAAGCTCAGCTGGGCCAACTCTGCTCCAGTGATTGACTCTTTGCGTGCCGCCTTATTAACCCGTTTCCTGTTCTTCCATTGCAGACGTCAGCATGCCTTTATGGCCAACACACAGAAGCAGCAGCCGGCGGGCGGAGGAAGTGGCTCTGGCAGCGTCACCCATAGTCCGGAACGCCTGCGCGGAGCCACCACAGCCACCCAGGATCTCTTCGAGCTGCTCGAGCGTGTGCAGTGCTCGCGACTCGATGACCAGCGCTGCGTCCTGCCCGCTTACTTCTCTCAGGTGCGTACAGAAGGTTCCTCGAGCGGAACCCTTAATGGTTTGCAGGTTTCTTAGGGGTTTTCGTAGAGAAATACGTGGGTCAGAACTCTGGCAACCAAATTGGCAGTGCAGAGCAGCTACATAACTTTATATTTGTTAAAGTGAAATGAATTATTTAAATCTGTAAAATATCCCATATCTTACCAGCTAATATTGGCTATTCCTACTCCAACGATAGACCACTCCTGTACGCTATCAAGATACACCACCTCGTGACCTACGACAATGGGCTGGCAATTGGCCAACGTTGGTCATCGGCCCTTTCGGATTCGCCTAGTCCCCGGGCATATGCTCCACTAATCTAAGTGTGTGTGATGGACTGACCCATAAAAGTCCAACTTGCAGTTGCCCATATATGTACCTCATTTTCCCCACCCTACAGTAGTAAAAATTTCATTTTACTGCTGCCAAGTCATAAAAATTGCCAATGGGACAATGAATGGAGTATGGGACGAAGGCAGCGAAATGGTGGGCGAACCTACATAGATCGAAACAAAGAGCCACCAACAACAATACCTCATATGAGGAGTCCTATACCACCATCCCCTCAACGAAAAAAAACCTTCAACGACTTTACCTTTCCAAAACATCTGTATAATTTGACATAATCTGCGCTTTGTTGTGGTCTCTTTGGGGTTCCGTCTCCTGGTTTAATAGGCAAATTGTTCGGCAGTCATGGGTTAATTCTTATGGGTGCGGGTGTGTGCTGCCAGGGATTAAGTGGTTGGTTGGTGAGTTGGTTGCTTAGTTCGTTTGGTTGGTTTGATGTCAATTTTTACGATTCAGCTGCGGCCTTTGAAGTTTTTGGCAGCTGTCAGGTGTGGCGCGGTCACTTCATAGCAAAATTTATTAGCAGGCTCTTGAGGAATAGATCGATAGTCTCTTGCAGCGGTGAGTTAAGAAAAACTTAAAAATCGAAAATTGAAATTATAAATGGCACAGGATTTGAAATTCATTTAATAAAACTGCAATCCAGGTATACTTAAAACATGAAATATTTGTATATGAAAATATGCTTCATCGTCTTTCAGCAGCAATTTTGCAAAAAGTATGCTTTATTAATAATCTCTTACTTTTTAATGAAATACATAATGTAGCATACTTTCGTTTGAATTCGCCTCCAAGCTGAGTGGCGCCATGTACACGTGCGGCGGATATTCTGTGAACTACCATTTCACGTTGCGCTTTATAACCGCTAGTGGCGTTTTCGGCGCCACCTATCGCATGCTATGACGCGGCGCCTTGAAAATATAAAAGCTCCTAAAAGCATGCTATAAATGGGGAATAGCATTGTTTTTGAATACATTTGCTTGGAATCCTTAAACAGGATAAAACAATATAACTATCAAAAATGCTTTATTTAAAGAATATTATTACAAGACGGAGGAAGAAAGATGTACTTTTATTTTAAATCTGATTAAAGCCATTTTAAGCACTATAATGCGAATTCGCTAATTCGCAACCTAAATGAGCAACACATACTATATATTTCCTTAGCGATTCAGAAACACCCCAAACACCTGAACTATAAAGTTCCAATTTCATTCTCTGTCGAGTTTCTAGAGCATAATCCACTTGGCCTTTTTAAAGAATTATATCGTTTCCTGTTTGGCCATTTCTCAATCTTCTGCTGTTTTTTTTTTTATTGCAGCCATCCCGCTTGCAAGGCAAGTCTTTTCAGATTTTAATTTAGTTTTCGCAACAATTTCGGAGGCAAACTTTTCTATATCAAAAGGCAAAGCAGCCAGCCGACCCTCACCCCCTATCCACAAGTGGTTTTTGCAGTGCAGCAAAGTGCAACCCGCATCCCTTATCCCTCATCTCCGCCTCGAAAGCCGAGCCTATGCCATATTTTCTCAAGATGCAGCCTTCCCATCCACATTCGAGTGCCTTTTATGCAGGCTCTCCTTGGGTAGAAGTAAAATAAAAGGGGAAAAAAGCAAAGGGGAGTCTGGCAGAAAGTCTCGTCTAGCATCTTGAGGCAAAACTGGGTTGACTCTCAGACCGTGTTTGAAAATTATGTTTGCACAAGTTGGTAAAATTGAATTTGGGCCCGGGCCAGTGGCTGTCAAACTGTGACGTTTGGCCACGTGCCGTGAGGAAAATCATTCCTGAGTGTGAGTGAGTTTTCCACACTCTGCATGCCGTTGTGTACGGAATTCCAGTTTTGCTCCTCGCAAGCATTCCTATTTATTTTATTTCCCTGCGTATCTACGCTCCCTATTGTATAGTTTCTCGCACGTTTTTTCCATTGCATAGTTTGGGGCTAATAAAGGGTTGCCTGGGAATGTTTAAGTGTTCCGTCCGGCACCCTTAACACCCTTTTTGCCTACCCTATCCTCAGCGACTAATTAAGCTGCCCAAATATGTTGTTACGGGTTAGCATTTTTCTACACAGGAAATAATTGAGGGACGGACAGAAAATTTTAAATTATGCTAAAAGAGTTATTTTAATCGACGCACCACTAAGTTATTTTTCGTAAAAATAAATGACTTAGTTTATAGTCTAATCAGCTAACTGGCAAATTTTCATTTTTAGCAAAACAAAAAAAAAATGCTTTCCTTTTTATATGAAGAATACGTCATTCATGCACTGACAAATATTTTGAACACATAAAGAGTTTTTGTAAGTTCCAAGGCTTTTTTGAGCGAAAATGAATACAAATTTTTGGTACATACATTTTTGCTAGTCTTTTGTAAGCGGCTTTTTCCACCTTCTGCTGCATTCCCATGAAGCCGGAAATCTGGGGCCCTTTGTTTTATGGAGGAGAACCTTCCGCCATCTAAGATTCGCTGGAAATTTATGCGCGACTCCCGCTTCTCTCGCTTTTCTCCCCAATTCCCTTCCTTTCCCATTATAAAAATATACTTTGGCCATTTCATTTGGGTTGCTTTGGACTTTTTCTTGCATATTTTTCACGGACGGTGGCTTTGGTGCTTGCCACATTCCCCTCGTCTTTATCCGCACACACATTAGAAGTCTCTTATGTCTTTGTCTCAGTTTGTGGTGCTCGGCGAGTGCAATTTGTCTGCCGGCCTCTTCTCACTCTTCCTTTTCCCCTCTCATTACCCCGCCGATTCCACTCGCCTTCTCCACTCCCCTACTCACAGTTGAGCAGTCACTGGCGAGCGGTGTGGACTTGACTCCCAGCAAATGCAACGAACGTTGAAGTTGTTAATTGCGATGGTCGTCAGCCGCAACGACAAAGTCTCCATCTCCGTCCGTGCAGCCGCCTCTTTCTAAAACGCAGTTGCTGTCTCTTTCGCCGGCTGGAGGTGCCTGAAAACCTGGCCGAAAACAGAGGAAAGGCCCGGAGTCCGCAGACCGGAGCAACCTACTCCCACAGTCAGCGCCATGAAAATGAGCTGCATTCACAATCGGAGAAACGGCGAAGGGAAGAGCGGTGCACTGGCCGTAATTCACATATACAATATTATTTAATAGCCAATAATGCAAACGAAAATAAATGGTTAACATTTATGTTTATGGGAAAATGTGTTCATTAAAAGCCACAAAGAATCGAAATTCTAGGATCGAAATAAAGCAGTACGAAAGCAGTTTAAAGGAACTTTTGTTACCAACCCATTCTTCAAGTGTAGAAACAGACAGAGAGGGCGACACACTCACTCACGTATGGATTCTAAGTCAGAAATGTGCGATGTTTATCACCATCATCTACCTACACGTTTCCGTACCGCGGGCCTGTAAATTATCCCAAAAAAAAGCAAGCAATCCGAAAAGATACCCTGAATACATCTATGTATCTCTATCCCTCCTGCGCTGTGGCACTTAAAATTTATAATTATTTTCCGCTTGTTGCATGCGGCCTCTCTATCTTTCCCCGTTTACTACATACACGTACATATCTCCTTCTGCCACTCTTCAACTTTGCCATGTGGAAATCTTTCCGTTACTCATTCGTGGCTTTTTAATTTCCTCTTCTATGGTCTTCCCTGCATCGCGAACAATGCAACTTTAAAATATTTTCCTTCGGCTTGCCTTATTTTTTGGCGGATCTCTGACATTAACCTAGGGCCGTGTCATCCACCCACAGCCCCCCGCCCATGGATACCCCTGGGTACCCGTACCCACTCCTTGCCCCTGTTTCGAGACATCGCTGTCTCTGATGTTTACCTTGTTGCTGCCTCGCTGACTTCGTTGTTGATTGCCAGCTGACAGTGGCAGCAGCCACAGAAATAAAGTAAAAAAGTAAAAAAAAATAATAATAAAACCGGGCAAACCTCAACTTAAAACTCTTTCACATGGAATTTAAAGCTCTGCGGCAGATTTCAGATGCGGGCTCAGCATAACCAATTAACCATGAGAAGCGCTCTGGAAGCCTGCGATATCTATCTTTCTGTCTATCCATCTTTCAAAGCTAATATCCATCTACTTGTCCAGATACGTGTTTATTAGCCGAGTCATCTATCTACACTACAAAAGTGATTGCAGCTTCTGAAAACGAACTGTTCATTTTAATGGACATTGCTACTTTAACCAATTAATATCTCATAATTGAAACTTCCATTTATGTTTTAATTAAATTTTATAATTTGAAATAATCAGAATCTAATAACTACTCATGTGAAGATATACACAATTTTATATACATGTATGCACCTCTCAAAAGAACCTCAACAAAAATAGTTTTTATTCCTCTTTCACTTCTTTTTTGGTCACATTTTGTTTATAAGCAGACGTGTTGACTGGCCGCCCCTACATGGACTTTATGCCATATCAAACTAAATTTAGTATATAGCACGATAGATTTAAAGTCTCAAATGCCAAGGTCAGGCTGGAAGCAATCATAAATTAGATATGTTTATAGAGGGGCTACGGAAAATAGCAAGCAACGAATGATTTGGAGCTTCTGTTTACTTGAAACTTGCATGACTTATGTTTACGCCACTTATTCTTAAAACAAATTGAATTGTTTCTATAACTTTTAATCATTTAGTGA